CGCGGTTGTTAGGCTTTTCCCTGTGGCAGGCACACAATACTCAGTGGCTGCCCTTTCAGAAAACACATGGAGAATTCAAAGGATAATGACAAACAAGAAGTGTGTTAATGTATCTTAAGGACACATTAGGGGGCCAGCAGGTGGCATGGTGGTTAAGGGCACTGAACTCCCACCTGGCCAACTGCGGTTCAAGTCCTGGGCCTAGAGGCTTGCTTTCTCACTTTCTTTCTCTCTCCCTCTGGTCCAATTAAAGTAAATAATAAGTTAAATAATACTTTTTATTTTTTTAAAAGAATACACTTTTTAAAAAGACTCTTATGTGTCTTTCTTGCTTTCTCTTTCTTTCTTTCTCTTTTCTTTCTTCCTTTCTTTCCAGAGAGTTTTCTGTTATAGAGATAGACAGAGACAGAAAGCAAGAAATCACACCCAGGGGGGATGGCCACACTGCAATCCCTTCTCCTCCATTCTCCTCTGGGATTTTGGGCACGCACACACATGTCCAGCGTGTTTCAAGTTGCCAAGTCTGGGACTCAAACCGCGGTTGGCCATGTAGGAGTCCAGTGACGTTACCGTTATGCCATCTGCTGGTCCCCCCACATGTATCTTAGAAAATTCTTTCCCCCCAAAGTCTAACAGTCTAACCTAAAGGCTGCCCCTTCAGTCTTTCAGAGTCAGCTCTGGCATGGGCTAAGGCAGATCCAGGCAAGAGGGAAAAAAATTGCATCCTTTTTCAGACAGGAGTGAAGAGATATACTAGAGGACTTCAAAAAGTCTGTGGAGAGTGGAATTAAAGTACAGGTTTATTTGGGTTAAAAAATTGTAGAGATCCATGCACAGTTTTTTCATAATACACATTTCCACAAACTTTTTGAAGACAAGACCCCCCCCACACACACACACACACACTTTGTATGTAGAAAAGGAAGTCAAACATGCATCAATTCATTTTAGAAGGAGAGATATACCCCTCATCTGCCCCTAAGTGCTAACTAAAATGTAGCTGTGATGGCAAGAGCTATAGCAGCCATCTTGAGACACAAGGCAGGAGCAACACAATGGAAACAACAAAATAAAGAAAAAAAGACTGGAAACGAAGTGATGACGGGAACTCCACACTGGTGTGAGAGCACCTGCCTGGATTTCCCTTTTCTTTTTTCAGGTTTTTCCCATTGGGTGTACGCACTCACCCGAGAGACAGAGAGAGACAGAGAGAAGGAAAGTAAGCAATCACCCCAGGGGAGATGGCCACATCACAATTCCTTCTCCTCTCAGGATTTTGGGCATGCACACATATCTTAACCTTTGCGCCACTTGCTGACTCCCCTGCCTGTGTTTTTATTTATTTATTTAAATTTTTTGGAGAGGTTTTCGCTATAGGGCGCGTGCGCTCGCCAGACAGACAGAGAGAGACATAGAGACAGAAAGCGAGAAATCACCCCCCAGGGGGGATGGCCACACCACAATCCCTCCTCCTCCATTCTCCAGCCCAGGATCTTGGGCATGCACACACACATACGTGCCCAGCATGATTCTGAAGCCACCAGGTCCAGGATTTGAACCATGGTCAACCATGTGGGAGTCCAGCAACACCATCTGCTGGTCCCCTTGATGCTTTTAAATATGAGATAAAAATTGCCCATTGTGACCTAGAAGGCCCTTGTTTTGCATCAGGGACAGCTTCTCAGGCCTCCGGGCTTCCCAGAGCTCAGAGGTCCGTCCAGGAGTATTTCCTCCGTCTTCAGTTCTCCCTGCCCCAGTCCCGGTGCCAGTTAAATATCCATCACTGCTGCCTTCCCCACTTCCTGGACGCTCTGAGAGGGCAGACCACACAGGCAGGCGTACACAGTTACTGGAGGAATGAGTGACTGACTGAATGACCGCCATCCTCTCCAGCAAATATCTCGGGCAGCTTCTTGAAAAGGGTACTTTTAAAAACAGGGAGTGGTGGCTTTAGGCTTTATAAACATTAAAAGGTATACCACACAGTGGCACCACAGTAATACAACTGGACCCACATGGGTCCCCGTCCCACGACCTCCCTGAGCACACAGGAAGCTTGGGTACCCAGGATCTGGGCCAGCTGAGACCAGGGGTAGATTGCGGCATAAGGACCCTGTTGGGGTCTCTCTCTCTCTCTCTCCCTCTCTCTCTCTCTCTCATGGAAGAAATAAAAATTCATTAATTTTTTTCAAAAGTTAAAAGCACACATCAAAGGACTGATTTTCCAGCCCACGGATGTACCTCCACAGCTGCACAGTGGGAACACCCTGTGCCTATACGCTGGGCATTCTGTCCCCAGCCCCAGGGCTCCAGCTGGATACCCCCTCCCAGGACACAGCAGGGCTGGACAGAGCTGGCCTCTGGCCTCCTAGGCACCTCTTTCATGGGAGCTGGCCATCTTACGATTGTTTACATGAGCAGGACTCAACCCTGAGTCCTGCCTGGAAGTACATCTCACTCCTTTGAAAGAAAAGATATACGACAGCCGTTTCTGCTGGGTCATCAGAGAAACCGGAGGCCGTCCTCCAAGTCTGTGGGGAGCGGAGCGCAGCATGGCCTCATCAGGGAGCAGCACTCAGAGACGAAGACGCTGCTTGATGCCTCCCACCAGCCGAGCTGCTTCACTGCTCCCGATAAAGGACACGAGAAAGAGCCACGGCTCTGACCTCGGATCCAGCTCAAGTGCACGTGGAATTCCTCTCTGAAGACATAGCAGCACCAGCATCGGAGCATTGCACTGAGGCCTCAAAGTCCAACAGCCACGGCTGATTTCCTCTGCGAAAAGGAACAGTCAGCAGCGGAGGTGTCGGAGGGGACGTGTGCTCTCGGCAAGATCACCCTGGGGAGAGGCATGGCTCCACTCCGAGTGGGTGCAGCAGCCATTCAGGCTCCCACCACCCCAACCGCTGCCATGTCAGAGTCACGTTCCTAGCCTCAGCTCCACCCTCACCTGGGCCAGGCCTCAGTGGCCTCTGCTAAGGGCACAGGACAAAGGCTGGACCCTAGCTGCCTTTTCCTCAAGGGAAAGGCAGGGTAATGCTGCAGACAGAAAACCTCTGACGCCCCGCCAGCGGAACACACTCGAGAAAACTGCCAAAAGAAAAAACGTGTCCAAGTTTAATAATGTATTCAACAACTTAAAAACAGATACAAAACATCAGTATAAAATATTGAATAGAAATATTACATTTATATAAAATCCAGTAAGAAAGGCATAATTTTATCACATAGGATAATTCATAAAATACACTTTGCTGAAAGGCAAATCAAAACAAAGTCAGAGGCAGTGACGTCCTCCATGTGCCAGAGAGAACACAGGTGCACCACGGAGTTCGTGCTCATGCCTGGCGGCCCCACTGGTGCTGACACAACCTGACAGGATGTCACATTAGAAACGATCAGGGCCCCTCGCCCACGCCCATGGGCCATCACGCAGAACACTGTGTCCGATGCTGCAGAGAAGTGGGAGGACACTCACTAGAGGCTGCCGCTGTGCCCTGAGGCTGCATGGTCACTGGTAGATGACCTTCACACAGAAGGCCTCTTCATTTTTGTCTTCGTGGTCATTGATGTAAATCAGGATCTCCTCCTCCCCCACTGTCTGTCTGGATGCAAACCGAAGGCCGATTGTGTAGGTCTCTCCTCCTCCGACCTGGAAAGGAGAATCAAAGTCTCAGTGTCTACCCCACAGCAGTCCTCACTCTCTTTTCTAGCAACTTCTGTGCATGGTAATATATACCTCCCACAAACAGCAGGTCACACGAGCTGACGAAGGACTGTCAGCCCTTGGGAGCGTCAGGCCCCAGACCCACCTGACGCCCCAGGTGCAGCGGCCGTGCTGGATGGGTGGCCCACTGCTCAACGCGGAGGCCGCTGGTCTCAGCCGAAGCTGCCAGTGAAAGCCCTGGCCACCGCTCCTTCCCTCTCTCAGAAGCTTCTCTGAACCTTGGGCCACTGCAGAAACGCCCCCACCATGGCAGACTGTGATCTGTTGTTTCTCCCTTACAGTATCTGAGATTGCTAAAGGCTGCCTAGGCAAGACAGTCCAATTTGGACGGACTGTGGAGAAATGGCAGGGAAGGGGGCCACCAGGGCCCGGCCTCAGGCCCTGAAGTTGGGGCCATCAGAGGCGCCTGCTGCTTTCTGAAGCACTTCACCCCAGATGGGGTGGCACCCATCACCATCCCAGGACCTTCTGGACTGCCTGTTACTCCACGGAATCACGCCTCTGTGAAGTGCCAATCACCCCATGTTTCTGAAGCATTAGACTCCAGAAAGAGGCAGAGCCAGATCCCCCCACCCCGCCCACACCTGGAAGGAGTCCTCCTTGAACTGCAGCAGGTCGGGGTGGTCGCTGTGCAGGTGGTACGTCCTCCGGGAGGGATAGGGGTTGGTGTAGGTGATGCGTTTGTTGGTGCCCTTCCCTTCCCCCGCAGCCAACGTGATCTCAAAGGCCTATGGAGGTAGGGGACAGGAGACCTTGTGGCCAGACACTCAGTCGCAGCCACCAGCTTTCTCCAAATAATGGGGAGCCCACTCTGCTCCCGGAGTGGCCCCAGGCCCTGGGAAGCTCCACAGAGATTAGACAGACAAACTAAGCTCTCCAAGCCTCTAGCCTAGAGTGAGGACACATGAAACAACAGCAAACACCCTCCACCCCAGCTTTACATGGAACACTGGGTATGGGCAACCCAACTGACAGGGCCATGTGACACCCTGTATCACACAACCAAAGTGGGGACCCCAGGAGCCTGTGCTTGTCACACACAGACCTTGGAAATGAGTGGCTGGCGGCAGGAGAGGCACAGGAGCCAGGAGGCCACCAGCTGGTGGTAGTCTACATCGACCAGGTTGAGGTGGACGAAGCGGCTGCCAGCCCTCCGGGGCCTCACGCCAACATGCAGGTCCTGCACCCCCAGAGGTGGCAGTACGAAGACACCCTTGGGGTCCGTCTCCAAGAACAAGAGAGACAAGTCAGGGCAGTGCTCACATTTTGTAGCAGGGAGCTCCCCTGGTCACCTGCAGCCCAGTTTATAACAGGACCCAAAGGTTACGAGGTGGTTCAGGGTCAACAACTCCACCTGCCCGAGGCAGCCCAATGTGAAGTCACAACCCAGTCTCGAGATCAGTGTCGCAGCATGGAGATCACACTGGGCAAGAGCCTCCCATCCATGTGGCTGGTCCCTCGGTGCTGCCTCAACAGAGACAGCACTTAGTCTCCAGTGCAAAGCCCTGGCCGGTTGGCCAGATCTGTACTGCCCACATGGTCCAGATGTGTGACTATGGCTTCATTCATTCCAGGGTTCCTCTTAATACTGGCTTCTCAGTAATTCTAAAAACTGGCCTTTGGCATGTGTTCATTTGTCACCCAGCCCACAGTGACACAGTTGATAAAAGGCAATTTGAAGGAGGACTGTGGTAAAAGCTGTCATCAGGATAACTACTGAGCTGCAGCCAAATGCCTGCCCATCCCAGTTCCAGCGGGGGGCATGGGAGGGAAAGCACAGGACAGCCAGGAGATCCGATAGCCCCCAGTCAGGCCTACCTTCAGCTCCTGGGGGTGTGAGGTGAAAGCTCTCACTTTCCTAACTGTCTGGGTCCCCCGGAGGACAAGGGACAGGCGAGTCAGCTGGCCTGTGACACAGGAGACATCTACACGCTGCAGGGAGTGAAGATAGACCTGCCATGTCTGCACAGGTGCCGCCAGCCAGCGATCCCTGCAGCGGGACAGAAGCCATTGCTCAGACAGCAGCACCAACCCACGAGAGGGGGACGAGGGCTGCCGGGACGGAAAGCCAAGAGACGGTCGGGCCAAGTGTTCTTGCCTGCCTGGCCAGCTTCCTGCACACCTAAACTGGATGCCCTTGGGGCAGGGCTTGGCTTATGTGTCACCTGTCTCTGCACCCAGGAGGGTGCTTAGGACCCATCCCATGAGACTGAATGCAGGCTAGCCCTGCCCTGTTCTGGGCAGCACTGAGGCAATCTTCCAGCTCACATCGGTTTTAGATGGTTCTCAAAGGGCTGAGAGATATGACTTCCTAGGACACAATAAAAACACCAGGCCATTCTAACTAGTGAGAGAAATAAAGGGGCAGTTTAATCACAGCCTCCCAGTATGAAAGATAATACCTGATACCTTCCACCTCCCCAAGAGGGGCCACACTTGACTCCCAAAGGGGTTCAGCTGTGAGCACTGTGTGGGAGCAGAAGCTGCCTCGCTTCTGTCCTTGGTGGGCACATGATGCACCCTGAGACTCGCAGGCTGTCTGTCCACTCTGGAGCAGAGAGGATGCCCTGTCCAAGGCTCTGCTGGTCCTGGAACTCAGCATGGAGCAACAGAACCTCGGCTCACAAAGCAAAGGCGTGCCAGACAGCCTGCAAAGCTGAGTTTCAAAACGTGCTGTGTCCAACCCTCTCCTAATCCAAACCTGCCACTTCCTCTCCTCTTCTGCTGTCTCCAGATGGTCACTTTGCAAACTTACGCATAGATGACGACAAAGAAGTCCTTGACTTCCGGGCTTGGACCACTGGCTACCTTCAGAAACACATCCCGCGGCTCCCCGGGGCCCTGTGGACCAGACAGGGGAGTGCGTCAGTACCAACGCCAATACCACTCATTTCTCGGCTCTGCCTGACCCCAGGTTGGCCCTGAAACCTGTGCCAAGCCAAGGCAGGTGAACCAGCCCCTCCCTGACAAATCTGTTAACTTTCTGTACTAGTCAGAGTTCACTGTTTTGTTCATTAAAATAAGAAAATCATTAGCTTCTTGATTTTATATTGATTTTAATAATTATGTTCTACAAGAAATTTTATCCCATTTCCGAACCAGTCATAATACAATTATTGCTGTTATCCTTTACACAATGGTAATTAGTAAGTGCCTTAATTACCATTCACTTTATTCACTTTGCCTCGTGTCCTTTTTTAATTTAAATTCAGATGATCGAGAAACTGATCTACTAGCAGAAAAAAGGAAAACTCATTCAGAAAGCTCTCCTAAGGATGCTGAAACAGTCCTTTAGCACCCTGGCAGAAACCAGTCAGTCCAAAACCCTGCAGCTAGTTCCAGGAGCTCAGAAGTGGAAACGACAGGGATGGGTGCGCACTGAAAGACCTGCCTGAGAGAGGGCCACAGTGCCACATACCACATTCTGGGTCTCACAAATGACATTCGGGTCACTACATCGAACGTGGATGGGGGGGTCCTCGCCGGGCATTCCCACAGGAGCACCTGGAACAGGAGAAACGTCAGAACGAGCGAGTGCCTTCTCCACAGGCCTGGGCCCGTCTCAGGCACCCACGAACACCTGCTGGGACATAGAGGACACCACTGCCCCCCAGGTCAGCCTGTGCCCAGCTCTCACTTTCCTGTCTATGTCCCCCGAGGACAAGGTACATGAATGCTGGCACCCCCCACCCCAGCACAGCACAGGGCATTTCTCAGCCACCTTCTCAAGGGAATTGCCAAGGGCGCAACCACAAAACGTCAAGTTCTGTAACACACAAAAGGCTTCCTTTTGCTTTAAAAGCAACTGCCAGAAGATTAGGGAGTTGCCAGATGGGGACAAGTGTTCCCCTCGGCACAACCCTCACTTCTGATGGGTAGAATCAGCCACCAGTGTGCCCCTGCCATCCAGAGGAGGCAGAAGGCTGTCATTTCAGACCACACAGGCAGAGTTTGCTTGGCCTGCATGTTGACATGACAGCACCCCAGAATGAAATCTGATGCCATCTGCCACCGTGGGAGGTGCTTTTTTCCAATCAGCTGGACCTACAACCTGCTGGCTGCAGGTGCAGCATGGGACCTGCCTGGAAGTGTGTGCCAGGGAGGCAGGCGGATGGCCTTCTTCAAGAAGGTGAGCTCCGGGTGGTAGAAACGGAAGACTTGGTCTACCACGTGGGGCTGAGGCTCCACGGTGAGGCACAGCACGGCGATGGGCCGGCCACTGCTTGCCCGGAACAAGACCTGTGAGACAGCAGATCATACCGGCTCAGCACTATGTACAGGCTCTCAGGCAGCTTCAATCTCTCCTCAGACAGCACAGGGATCTCCACTGTCGCCAAGACGCACCCACCCTTCTCACCCCTTGCAAGGACAGGTGTCATCGGAAACGCAGACACAGTCTTTCACCAGCCGCAGGTGCTCAGGGTACACATACAGGCGCAATACCGTGATTCCTCTAAAGTAAAGGACACTCCTTAAAAGCCAGTGGAAAAGATTTGCTATCCCAGTGCCAAAATCCACTTCAGTCAGGGACTAGCAGTTGGCATAATGGCTATGACGCTAGACCCCCATGTAGTCGACCACAGTTCGAGTCCCAGATCCAGTGGTTTAAACTCACGCTGGGCGTCTGTGCATGTACGCTCAAGATCCTGAGAGGAGAATGGAGGAGAAGGGACTGTGGTGCGGCCATCCCCCTTGGGGAGTGATTTCTCACTTTCTGTCTCTCTCTGACTTTCTAGCAAGCGCACACACTCTATAGCAAAAACCTCTCCACAAAATAAATAAATAAATAAAGCCACTTCAGCCATAATCCCACCGTCTTTCATGTCCTAGGTGCTTGAGTGCAGCTAATCCTTCTAGAAGGATCCCGAGTTCCCCTCACCAGGTCCGCATGGTAGTGACAGGAAACTTCACAATCAAGCACACAGTCTGAGCTCTGTGGTTCCCGATGGTCAAACGAAGCCGTGGGGAAACGGAAAGGACTAGGGACAGAACCTTTCCTGGTTTGTTTTTTTATAAGTTATTTACTAAAAGACTTACTAGTCTAAAAGAGGTACTAATCTGGACAACTGATAGAATGGGTATTTTTACTTCATTACACATACTGCACGCACACATGCATGCACACACGTGAGCACAGACAGAGTGGGGCAGGAGCAGGACTGGAAGGAAGATCATTCTGACCACATCCTGTTTTAAGGTTTGATTTTGGACTCACATAAACATTCCTAGTTAACGTTTAAACTAAATCAAAAAGGAAGAAAAACTGTCTATGTATTGAAAACAAACAGACGAATCAAACTGTCTGTGCATCAAGTTGATGATCTAACAACACAGAGAAAAATGTTTAGGTAAATCTAAAACACAGGACAGAAAAGAACCTAAGTTCTAGAACCTCAGAAGGCTGAGGCAAGAGGACTGTGACGCAGCAAGACCTTTTCTTGCATACGCACACGCACACACACACACACACACACACACACACACAGAGACCACTACCATCAAAAAAATAAAATAAAAAAGAGAGAGAGAGAAAGAGAGAATGAGAGAAAAAGAGCCTAAGGACAAAAATCACCACTCAGAAATTTTAAACCACAGAGACCTTCGTCCTGGTTGGTACTGACATTTTGAAATATACTCATATACACATCCCAATCCTTGTGGTCAGCAGCAATAGGGTCAAAGAAACCAGACCAGTAGAGTAAGTCCATACAGGGGAACTGAGCAAACAAGTAAACACATCGAAAATAACGGGTGCAATGTTTCTCATGAGCAGAAATGGGAATTGCAAACAGGAAGGAAAAAAAAAAAAAAAAGGCAGGAATAAACCCAGTTTGGAATTAGAAGGATTGGTATGAATTCATAGTCTTCAACATACATAAAAACAGAAGTCTAGACACAGGTATCTGCATATCACACATGTGTGTCGCATGTGTACATCTGCATACATAGGCATGCCCGTTTTAGGTCTCTCTCTAAGGGGGGCTAGCAGCAATGACATCTCAGTGGTAATGAGTACACCGAGCATGCAGATCATGGCTTCTAAATACCACTTTCCACTGAAAGCGATGCTGGATAAACAGTTGGTTCCAGAAACG